TTCAAAACATGGGGGGGGGGGGGGGGGGGGGCAGGGGGTATTTAGAATACAAAAGCAGAAGAAGTTTCATTCCAAGGAGTTAAACAAAAGAACTGACTACTTCTGGGAAATTATCTGCTGGTTGATCACTCTATAAAACAGTTGATGTGGAACCATAACAGATTTACATTAGACAATATTTAGTACACTTATTCTGGATTTCTTGTACATCACACTCAGCACTGGCTGTGGAGACACCTTGTTCTACATAGTCAAATGAAGTCTGCAGGCTAGCTGTAAAAAGACTTTCTTCCATGCTGTCAGATGAAGTTTGCAGTATTTCTGCAGCCTGCCTGTCTGCCTTCCATTCCATCAGATGAGTGTTGGCTGGCAGTAGAGCTGTTTTCTTCCATGATCGTGCTGGAGATCTGCAGGTTAGTGGTGGAGAACCTTTCTTCTTTAGTAATGGTTACATTTTGTGTATTGGTTACTGTGGAGTTGTGTGTGCTGGATGCAGACATATTTTCCTTGACATTACTACAGGATGCTGATTACTCACAGGTAACTTCAGGATTTTGCTCACCGACAACCTCCATATTTTGTGTTCTACCATCTGCTTCTAGGTTGACAGCATTCTTGAAAATAGCTCTCATGACAAGAGGGACAGACAAGCAACTGAAGAGAAAATGTTTAAAACTTTATCTGCCACTACAATGCTTCATCATTCTCCATGTTTAAAAAAAAAAAAAAAAAAGTAGTTTGAGTGGGTTAACAAATATAAAGTCTTTCCTGGGGAAAAGGTTATCAGAGTGCCTGTCACATTCTAACAGAGCAGCTTTGGCCTCTTATTTGGCCGAGTGCTTTCGTACAGAAACTTTAAGAGAAGCTAGAGGTATACCCATTCAGACAGTATCTAGGTATGTGGATTCTTATGTTCTTGATGCTAAGCACTACGTGCAAATCCAAGTAAAATGCATCTCATATTCAGTTTTGGATTTAGGATTTTACTTTAAATATTGTCCATTTAACTTTTCATTAACTCTACAATTATAAAACAATACTGGAATTTACCCAAACACAGACTGTGCTGACTTCATCAGTTTTTACTATTTCCTCCATTAAGCTAGATATAAACTATTGATTCAAGCCCATCGAGCCTAAATTCTTCTTACTACTGTACCACCAAATAGCTGTTTATTGACCTAGTTGAAGTGAATTAATGATCTCCATGTTTTTCTTAGTACATACATGTCCATGCTACAGCCTGCATTGGGAACCCAAGGACTGACTAGACATAGGACACTGAACTCTTACTTCCTGAAGGTGGTCCCCCAGGAAGGTAGGTGGTACTCATTGGCAAGCCCAACACAAAAAACTTTGCATTGAAGCCATCAGTGCAGCGCCTGCTGGGTGAATAACAGGGCCAGAAGACCTAGACCTTTTCATGAAAGTACCTTTTGAAAAGAATCTCTCTTAAATGTTAATTTTTTCCCCCCACTTCCTACTGGAAGGACCTTATAGTGACAGACAAGAAATCTATATAAGCAAATATTGCTATAAATCAAATATGTTTAAGGAAGAGTGTGACACCCTTTCAATAAAAAGGACTAAAATATACTTAAAAAGACAGAGCTAAGGCTACCTGTTTTCCTCTTGTGCTTTCACATTAACTAGAAGTATGTTTCACACAGATGATTTTTGCATATTACGGTGTACTTTTACTATTCATAAAAAATATTTCCATTAATAAGCACTTTAAATTGGTGCCAAGCATTTTATTTTAAAACAATGCAACTTGAACACCTACCGCTCCACAACTCTTGTGATGAAATCATTGCTGCAATTTAAGGTTGCATCTTGCGGATTTATATGAAGACTGCATTTGATTTCTCTGGAGCTCAAGACATTGATTACCACTGACCAAGAAAAAAATATACCAACATTATTTTGAAATGTCTATATCCATGATCAATTAATAATTCCTTTCAGTTCTAAAATGCAACTTAAAGTATTGAACATTTTTAATTTTTTGGCATACTAACAAATAAGTGCTAATGTGTTTAAAATACCATGGCTGCAATCCCTAATCCTTCTGATTTAAGTGGGGCCTCATCAGGGTACAGCAATCTGCTCATGTTCACTGTATTAAAGAAACATAGGTCCATTAAATGGACCTATTGCTTAACCCAGTACATGGCAATTCTTATGTTCTTAAGAAAACCTTAGTTTTTGTCTGTATTGTTTTTTTGTTTTAAGCTGTAGTTGTAATACTTTTGGCCACGTATTACTTACGCACAGAAATGTAATCCTTATGAACAGCATTAGGTTTTAGAAATTCACTATAGGTCTTCAAAGTTAGTATGTGGTATATGCTCACTACTGAACCCCCTGTTCTGAAACTAGGGGGAAGATAGCAATATAGAATAATCTATACATACCACAAGCTAAATTCACTCCTACAGGATGCTGGAATGAGATGGAAAAGCTGGTGTCTTTTACTGGAGACACTTCAAAATAAAGCAGCTCTGAATAATCTGTAAATGAAATAACTAAGTTTATTAAACTTAGTCCGTGTAAGTAAATTGTAGAGTAGTTCTAAACATTGGCAACTCCATCTTGATAGGTTTTACTGTAGTTTGTGCCTCTGAGGACTAAGTAATGTGTCTAAGACTTAAGAATGTTACTTTAGCATCTGTAACATACAGGGAGTGATTTACACAAAAATTAAGTATTCTGATCATTTAGAAACCAAGTCTTTTCAAGCGCACTGTTGTAAAGGCTTCAGAAAAGGAAGCGGTCAGAGTGGTGATGTACAGCTTACAAACAAATACGAGTTAAAACAGCATTACAGAGAAATATACTGTTCTTCCAGACATACCAGTTACCTTTGTTTATCCTGTTCTCAGAGAGACAGCTGCTAATAAGGGTGTTATAAACCATCTGATGCCGAAGAATATCTATTATAGGAGGCACGAACTTTGGATGGGTGAATGGAATTTTACTGACCAATGCTCCTGTGATCCCTGATTTTTCTGTGCCTTTATTTATGAAATAACTATGCTTCGGACAATCTGGAAGAGACTGACAAAAAAAGTATGCTTATTTTGTGAAGAATTAAAATGCGATGGCAAATCCTGATAATATCAGAATATTACATGGGACCTGATTCTAAAAGAAATTTTACACAACATGTACTTTCCAAATTTGTCAAGCCTGTCTGCAACTCAACAAAAATATCACTTAGAAAAAAAGGTCACCTGAGACCATACTTCTTTCCCACAAAATAGCTTTCAACCTTGGAGAATATGCACTAGTTACAAGCTAATAAAGTATGAATTCTAGTTCCAGCTATTGCACTGGTTGATGTTAAGAGTCCAAAAGGTCATAGAAATCTAAATAACAAAGGCCTTTTACCTTAGGAAAGGCAATTACAGTATCATTTAGCCACTCTGCAGATAAGGTAACAACGGATGGGGATAATTCAGGTAGACCCGAGAACAAAACCCAAATCTCATTCATTTTGCAATGTTCTCTACTGCAAGGAATAGGTTTGGCTATGTTGTCTCTTGACCGTACTTATACCCAACCCATGGAAGATATCAATTTTTAGCTGATTTTTTTAAAATGAAATCCTCATAAATTTTAAAAAGAGGAAGCAAATATTATCACCTGAAACCTGAGACCCTGCTTTGTACAAGGTAATTTGCATTAAATCACAAAGCCCAGAGATACCTCAGCCCCATAACAAATTACTGTCTGGAAGAGCATTCCATCTTTTTACTCTTCTGTGAAATATGAAACATCATAACCAGAAGGAAATATGACTACATCCTGCTTGCCACCGAACAACTTGGAGGTAAACAGACTACTCCAACCTCTGACCTAATCTGCATAAAATGAACTGTGCCAAACAGGGGATTTTACCACACCTTCAACTTCCCTATGAAATATGAACTTTAATTTCTACTGAGGAAAACTTTTACAGTCCCTTTCTCGTATGCCTGAAGGATGGTGCTGGTGCCTAAAAGCTCGCAAATAAAGATTTTTTTTTGGAAAAATCTAGTTGGTCTAATAAAAGACATCACCTCCACCATGAGTTATGATTCCTTCTCTCAGTCAGTCATTTTAGTGTCCAACAGTGTAGCACATTCTAGCAAATCTTTATGTAACTCAGTAGTAGAAGTATGCACTGCAGTTTCTCCTGTGGGTGCACCGGGGGGGTGGGGGTAGGTCCAAAGACAACAACAGGTGTTTCACCCTCCACCTACTCATGTACCTACTACAACAGTATTCAAAGCCAACTCACTGAGGGGAGAAATTATAAGTGCAACCCTTAATTGGTATGAGGTGCCTGGAGTAATTGCAATTCATTTGTATCATTTCATATAGTAAAAAACCTATGAATATAGAAGTGAAGTTAGCTACTGTTGTTTAAAAATTCTGGTTTTGATCCATGTGAGCTGTCCCTTTAAGAACAGAGCAGGATACTTAATTCAGAGGGTGTGTATTAAAGAGGGGGTATAAAATGAAGGAGATTTTGCCAGAGTCCACTGAATGAAAGACCCTACCAGCCCAAGATCTAAGAAGGTAAGAACTTGAGAGGAAGCCTTAATTCCTCTCTTCTAGCTGTACAATTAGTTTAATGAAATGTATCTTCTCAGGACACTGCTAATGAACTGTGGTCTTTCAGCTCTATGCAGTTCAGATATTCAGGAGCTCCTGTGCAGAAAGACTAGGAATTGCAAGTTCCTATGTATTGCAGCTACAGGTACCATACTGCAAACTGACCACCTTGCCCTGCACTGTTAGCCAGACTCAGTAAGAGCTTACCCAAGCTCAAAACATGGAATTATGTCTGTTACTTGTAGAGGAAGTGCCTTCTTTTCCAGCTGTCTCTACTATCAGGCTGAAGGTATGCTTCTCCCTTTAAAGCCTTACAATGTTAGAGGTTATGAATATTTGTAACTAGTCAAGTTAATTACTGAGACTAAAGTACCACCAAAATATAAAAAGTGATGACAAATTGCCTTCAGATATTATTTGCCACATATCTTCAGTAAACACCTTTTTAAAAAAGGTATCACATTGTATAATAAAGTAACAAATTGAATTAATTTTTTTTCTGAATTTTGTTTTAATAAAGGCTATAGCAACCAATTTACTACTCTAGCTGTCATGTGGTAGAGAACATCACAATTGTTAGTACTTCAAAGCGAGTGGCAGATAAACTTTGAGCATAGTGTGTTTCGGGTTCTTTTGGGGTGGGAGAGACAGGGCTTAAATAAAGTCTCTTGAGAGGCAAGCTATTTCCTACCTAGCTTCACACTACTTGCTCACAAACCCAGCTTTCAGAGATTTGCGCGAAGTTGGTGAACAAATTTAGCTGGCTAAATGTGTTTTGAAAAAGCAGTATTAACTTCAATAACCACATTCAATGCAATGTCTCAGTCTGAGCTGCATTTAATAATCTTTATCTCAAAATAAGAAACAGATAGCATATTACACTCTAAATTTGTACGAATTCTCCCTCATGAGTGCTTGATTCCTGTTCACAATTCTGAATATTTACCTTGCTTACTGACAGAAAAAAAGCATTTACTTAACCACATAAAAGCATACACTCTGAATAAGAATAAGATGGACCCGCATTACAAATTACCAGGGGTGGGGAGATGACAAAACAGAAAATACTTACCACAATGAAACGATAATTATTTATGGAACAATCCTCCTTGTACTTCCCATTAAGGGTAAATTGAACAATCAATTCATAAAGAGGAGCTAGTGTCGGGGCAAAAATGGGAATGCCTTAAAAAAAAAGAAAGTTTTTACTAAGGTTTCTGAATTATTCTGTAGTCCATTATTAATACAATTGAGCACATTGATCCATTTTGACATAGACTCATCAAAATTTAAATAGGCAAGTGTTAACCCAGCCCCGTCCTTTACCTTATCATTGGGGCACTGAGGTGTGAATCACCCAAGTAACTCACCCAGCAATAGGGGTTTGTTTTTAATTGAGATTGCCCAAGTTTAAACCTAGTGGGGTTTACCAGTAAGCCCATCCTTCTACGTTCTCATTTCTCTACTTCAGCCTTAAAAAGTTCTTATTTATCCCTGCCTAACTGCATGAAAAATGTGATAGCCAGAGCCGAGCTGTTACGAAAATGAAAGGATTTTCTCTTAGGGAAGTAGTATTCAGGTTTTCTACATGTCCTGTAACTTTAGAATGAGTAAGCGAAAAGCAAACAAGCTATGTAGAGTTGTTAAAAATATTTAGTCTTACACATAATTAAAACATGCCTGTAATCTTCTGTATCTCGTTAATACTGGATGAAGATATAGGGGAAGGCTGGTGAAACTTCAAGAAAAAGCAAGCTGGCAAATCCACACCAAGTTCATCACTCAGTGGTAAAAAGACAGGCTTTCTGAAGAAAAGGATAGAAAGGAAGTCATTATAGAAGCAGGGGCAATGGTGACTATGTACAGTGCAAAATTAAGACACATCTAGTACCTAATTCTATATGGACCTATTCTGAATAGGTTTTTCTTCCAACCCCAAGTCTTCCTCTGAAAAATGTAAGTAAAGATCAGACAGCAAAGCAAGACCTGCATAAAAACTAACAGAGGGCCAGTGAGACCCGAGAACATGCAGAGCAGCACATAAGAATTCTTTCTTTATCTGTTTTATTATGGTTCATTGAAGAAAAAAAAACTGTCCCTTAACACTGACTTTTTATTGTGCCAGCAATCAGAGAGGAAACACCACTTTCCTAGAGGAAGTTTAAGCCAAGGACATGAAATATTACATACAACTCAACTATAATGAATTGTCACACATCTACCCTATTTCCATTTAAAAGTATGAACTTCAAGCAGGTATTACTTCATCAATAAGTTGTTATAAAGATGGCCAGACAAAATAATCAGATTGGACCCTTCTGGCCTCAAAAATCTATGATTGTATGCACCTCAGACACTTTACACTACATTTGGGGAAACTGTCAAAGCCACAGATTATGCAGAGTACTCCAAAGAAAATAATGCCATCAATAAATTATAGTTGCTCAAAAGCTTGCATTTCTTATATAAGCATAGAATCAATAGAAATTGTCAGAGGTTAATATAAATGGGCCTGCAAAGTCACTGATGTGTTCAGAAGTGTAAATAGTGCCTCTGAATCTCACCCATCTTGTGTCTGGGAATCCACAATCAACGGAGAAATAGGAAGCTTGTGCGTCATGTCTGAACCTCCAACAGTTACAAACAGCTTTGTTCCACATACGCATGAGCCTGAGAGAAAGGGAGAAGACTGTTTTGTGCCATTGTATTTATTTGCATATGACAGTGTAAATGACTGTAGTATAGAACTTGTGAAATGTGTCAGGCTGAAATGTTTGGAGCCCTCTAGTCATCCACAGAGCTGGCGCAACCCAGGCTGCTGCAGCATAAGCTTTCCTTCACCATTTGGTCAAAGACTGCTTTGACAACTGCCAGGTAGCGTCAGCTGTGATAGTAGGTTTGCAGGTTACAAAAATTAATTGCCAGAAGACAGACAGGTTCACCACAGTCCCATTGTATGACTTGATCACTGCTAGTTCAAATTCAAACCAATGTGGCAACCCAAAAGCAGAAAAGTTCTTATTTCCTTATTCATCTTGTCCTTACACTAAAGCATTTCTTACTTATGAATACCCGAGATATACTTAAGTGAAATCAAGGTTTTGCATTACTGCTAAATTCACTTAGCATTTTTCTGCTAAGAAACAAAACCCCAACTTATCATTAAAAAAAAAAAAAAAAAAAA